GCAAAATAATCAGTTCTCATTTTCTAGATATTAACCTTGACACTGTAGCATTATGCCTATGCTGTAGAAAACCCCAAGAGTTCTTGGGAACTTTGGGGGAACAGCAGGAACTTTTTCAAAATGTTGCCCTTTCATAAGCTAGCAATGAGCCATTTGAATTTATGCTTATCAAGCAAAGCCCCCATCATTGTGTTACTTTTTTCCAATCTGTATGTAAGAATAATGCATACCACCTAGGAAACCTCATCCTTTAGCCAGTTACTGCCTTGTTTTAGGAACAGAGCTGTGTTAGATGTTATTTATCTCAAACGTAATAAAATGTATGCTTAAAATTTTCTTGTTAAAACTTTGCAAGTCCACCTTTAGAGCAACAGCTAAAAACTGACACAAGTTTTCTCTTTTTGAATGTTAGAAAACCATCTCCTGTAAACAGTGATACTGCTAAATTCTTTCCTTGCTCATTAGAGTTAACGTGAGTATTCTGTAGCCAGGCCAATGAAAGACTGCCAGTATTTACAGGAAGAGAGGGAGAAAGACACACACAAAACCAGACAGGTAAAAGACTTTACAACCACTAAAAACAAGAAGACAGAAGTCTGCAAAAATAAGAATAAAGTTGGTGGCAAAACTGGGTAAAAAAACCAAAAAACCCCTCTTCCAGAGAAACAAAAATCTTATCTGTTAAATTTTCATCTGTGACACTGTAGCCATAGGTGTTTTTGAACCACTTACTAATACAACACTGGTTATTTCCTTTCTGATACCTTGCACTTCTATGACAAGTACACTTTGTGGCTTGCTGAGTAGCTTGTAGAATTAATTTTCATTGTAAGCCAAAAGAATTTTGTGACCTAGACCCTGTTTACACTTGTTAAGCCCAGGCTGTTTTTCATGGCTTATACTGGCAGGAGCACCGAGAGGAAGACAAGCTGGGTAGATGGATTTCTCTTCTCCACTTTGAGGAAGAAGACAGCCGTTTACTTTACCTGCATGAATAGGTAGATGAGAGGAAAGGGGGCCCTAGAGACTATACTGGTGGCAATCAATAGGAGTTTATGGTTTATGTTACATAGGGAAATCATGCTCAAGCATAACAGTGATCTGGACTTACAATGGGTTGATGAGCCTCTGGTGGTCCTGACCGGCTGCTGGAAGACTAGAGGACACAGGTAAAGTATTTCCCTTGTGTTACAGCCTGGAATACCTGGGCTTAACTATTTAAATACTAATGATATGGACTTAATTTCTGAAACAACAATTCTGTTGAAGCCTGAGGATTCTCTATGGGATAACTTCACACTTCACCAGTCCCTGCTAATACACAGCCCAGACATACAGGTCGGTTTGTCCTTCAGAACAGTTTGCTGGAAGATGCTGGAAATCAGTTAGGGTTTCTGCATCTTTGACAAATGCGTATTTTCGTTCATCTTTTGGCTCAGCAAGGTGGTTAAAACAGTGAGTGCAATAGGAAGAAATGGTATTCAGTCTACCACAGAAAAACACAAGTTATCCAGCGACCTGAAGGTAAAAGGTTTCCCTCAAACTGTTCCCATGTCAGATACTTTCAGAGGTGAAATCACAGTGTAATTGGTGAGAGTCTGAATGACTGTGGTATCTCACAGGATGGCGATGTAGGTACACCTTCCCCAGGCTCCCGGAGCTCCCAAGGGGATAGAAACTGTAATACAATCTAGTACAAGTGGAAGCACAGTCCTGTAGGGTTGTCTCAAAACATACTAGGATGTCTCATATCTTTTCCATATTTGGGTGATATTGCCAAAGTCAAGTCTCCAGCTTATTTCCGCAAAAACAGAAAAGCTGTGTGACTAGAAAAAAAGGGGAAATCCAAATTTAAAAATAGGTCACCACTTTTTTCTTTTTTAAATATATTTATCACCGCTTCACCAGTAAATCAGTAGCTCAGTAAGAACTGCTACATGGTAAAAAGCATTCAAATGGTCTCTCCTGGTAGTAGCTCAACACACTGAGAGCATTGCTGTAACTTCTGCTGTAGGAGTTCAGCTTTCATTTTATAAAGAATTAAAAGTCTTCGGGCCCTCCTGGTTGAAAAGAGAGCCTTCAGAACATGGCCTGCAGGTATGGTGCATCTACATGGCATTTTGCATTGCAATTTAGAGAGACCTCAACCGTTCAGTTTGAGTCAATCTGTGCACCTGGCAAGTAAATCGGCTCAGGTAGCTCTCCAGTTCAATGGCAGCCATTCAGTGGACCATATGCAGGCACATTGAACAGAAAAACACAAGGAACTCCATTCAAGTATTTCTGAATTGGGTGCCTTGGAGATCAGTGTTATTATCACTGAGCCAATTCTCTTCCAAGGACTAGAGCTTTTTTCTGCTGCAGTCCCTTTTGGTAGGCTGGCCAGGGCAAGTGGGATTGCTGAAACAGCAATAAAACTACGAAGTTTTCAGGTCCAAAAATACTTGACCCATGGGAATAGCCTGCCAGAGAAAGTTTAGAAGTTACATATTAAAACCAGAATAGCCTAAAAAATGTCCCACAAAAGACCCTGCATCAGTCTTAACCCACAATGACAGACACAAAATCCATATTTAAATATATTTTGGAGTACTGTTTCTCAAACATTTTGGATGCACCATCCTCCTTCAGGATCATTAGTCTTTATGGACCCTTTCCCAAATTGTCAGTTGGCCAGGGAACAGATAACCAACTGTCTTTACTTACAGCAGCTCAGTTTCACCAACACAGGGAAATAAGAAGTCCCTGTAAGTACTGACAGACAGCACATAGACACTTAACTCCCCTCTCCTCCAGAAGCTGCCCTGTCCCCAGTTAGCTCTGCCCTGTGGTCCCTACCTCCCTCTTGCTGCCAAGATCTATTGCTGCTTTTCCCACCCCCAACCCTGAAGGAACTGAGAGGGTGCCCCCAGTAAGTCAGCATATTATTTTTGCTTTGCTCTCTAAACAATTAGTGTAATTAATATTTAATATATACTATCTAAAATTCTTTTTAATGTTTTTTAAAACTCTTTGAACCTTTCATTAACTCCCTTGGAAGCTGCAATATATAGTTTGAGAAACACTGCTCCAGAAAAAGACACACAATTTTTACAAATATAAGCAAAACCAATACAAAATTTTAAGTGGTAATATCTTTATACAGTATTTGCCTCAGTAAACAGATTTTACTGCTAATATATTTCTCATATTGGATCAAGGTTATGACAATTTATTGACCAGAATGTTTCCAATAAAATAAACTTTTTATAAGACCAACCATGACGTGAAGTAATGAAATACTACAACTAATTCACACTCTGTAGGAAAACCCAGTCAGAATCCATTTTAACAGTGCTGCAAAGAATGCCCAGTTCCCATGTAGTTAAAAGACAACTAAGCAACTGAAGAGCAAACAAGTTGTTAGTATTTTATTCAAATTTAATGATTAAAAAGTGTAAGTTCATTAATTCTAATAATAAATGATGAAAACAGAATATAGCATTGTCTCTAGATGAATGAAGGAGGCAATATAATCAAGTGAGGAAAAATACTAAATTAAAATAATAAAAGTAGCATTTTCTCTCAAACTAAGGACTCTGTTGTTATTGTTGCTGTTGCTTCTTACGAGGCTGAAAAGCTGAATATATCATAGTGGAGACATGATGCATATCATAGTGGAGATATGATGCATATCTAATCCAAAATAAAGTCTGTTTAA